CATGAACTTTACTGCTCTTCAGAACAGCTCAGAAGTATTCCTGCAGACAAATAGCTCTCTTTCTCCTGATCAAGAGAGTGGTGCAGGGATGACATGGGCTGGTAGGCAATCCCGGAAGATAGCGTAACAAGAGCTCCCTCGACAACATGCAACGGGATTTTCTACTGGATTTTGGAATATTGCAGGAAAGATGATCATGAGCAAACAACGTTAATGATACATTTTGTTCAGCAAGATAATCTCCACGTATTAACATTGCTTTTATAATATTTGAAGCATAAGTGCAATTGCCAAAACTATAAAGTTAACGTTAAGCTATAATGGAACTACATCACAAGAGAAACGGGAGTGCTAACATGCCGACTCGTTTCCGGGTGTTAGGAAGGTAGTCAGGTAACGTGAACCAAGTGCAGGTAAAGCTGTCAACCCAGGCTGAATATCAGGCTTACATCGGCATGTCATTCAACAATATCGACTGTTTCATTCAACATTATTATTGGTGAACGTACACAGCCACACACTCAATGTTTGGCCTGAGTCTAGAGGAACTGGAGAGATTTAGGCTTAGACTCAAACGGCGGACAGGAGATGTGCACACACTTCATAATATATGGGGTGTCTGCGTATGGACGTGTTGCATGTGGACATGTTCACACTGACATGGGAACATGTTAAAATGGATGTCACCCTTACATTCATGGACACTCAAGTATCATTTTCCACTAGCTACGTTTAAAACATATCTTCTTTTTCAGTTGCTTCATACTGGAAAAAGTGTTTAATGAGAACAGATTCAACCAGATGTTATCTGATAAACAATAGGACTAAGAAGAGATTCAGCCTTTTTCTTATTGTTTCTGTATAGAAGGAGATCATATGCACAGCTACAATCAGGTTTCCACTGTACAATGGAGACCTATATGCAATGAAAAAAAGAACACCACACCTTGTTAATTGTACATGGTGTTCTTTTTTATTTTATTGTATTGTATTTATCTCCTGGAAAGCACAGGAACAATTATCTTGTGAAGGGAAAACCAGTTTTTATAATGTGCATATAAATGCTTTGACTTTATGAAACTGACTTGAAAACACCAATGTGGATGCTCTAACGTTTAAACTGCTTTTTAGGAATTTGCTATTTGAATGTGGAACAAGTATGACTAACATTTGCTGACAAGAGCATACTTGCTGAGAGGCCTGGTGTCTTGCCTCGATAACTGTTCCACTGAGAAGATAACCATCTGGGTGAATGGATACAAAGAGGAAGCTAGAAGCTAACTAGCTGGCTGGAGAGAAAGCTAACTGACTGTCTCGGTAGAACGTTAACTAGCTGGCTGGATAAGAAACTGACTGACTGGCTGGAGGGGAAGCTAGCCGACTGACTGGCTTGAGAGGAAGCTAACCGACTGACTGACTGGCTGGAGAGGAAGCTAACCGACTGACTGACTGGCTGGAGAGGAAGCTAGCCGACTAACTGGCTGTTTGTTTTCTAGCCGAATGACTGAGACCTTGTGAGATGTGAGGAATTTATGAGCTGGCAAGACGCCAGGAAGAGGAGAGAGAGAGAGAGAGAGAGAGAGAGAGAGAGAGGAGAGAGGAGAGGAGAGAAGATATAGAGAGAGAGGATAGAGAAGAAGAGAGATGAGATGATCAGAGATAGAGCTCGCTCCTCGCTCTCTCTCTCGCTCATAGGATCTATATAGAGCGCTCCGCTGCGCTCTCTCTCTCTCGCTCGTCCCTCCTTTCTTTCCATTCGCTCGGCTCTCTTCAAGCAGGGAGTTTTGCTTGGCTGGAGTCAAAGGAAGCAGAGCAGAGGGTTTTCCCCCCTCTTTTTTAGGAGAGAGAGAGCGGGGCAAACCACACACACTGCTGGAAAACTACACTGAGGAGAAAGAGAGGAAAGAATAAAACAAAGACTGGAACAGAGGAAGAATGGAGAGGTTTGAGGAGGAAGGAAAGCAGAGTGAAGTGTGTCTCACCTCATTGTTGATATCAAACACTCCCTCCTGGATCTTCTCATAGATCTCCTTGGCTGTGTTGATGAAAGCCTGATACAGAGACAGGATGTGAGCAAGACAGAGAGAGAAGACAAGTTAGTTCGAGTTAATATGTGGATTTTAAATCATTAAACTTATACAAATGTTTTTACTAGGATTAACACATATAGGCTTGGGTTGCTAAAGATTCTCTTAAAAACCCTTTTATTTGCATTCTTTTTCATCTGAAATGTGTATATAGATCACAGTTAACTATCATCCTCTTTTCGCAAATAGTTTGAATTGATTTGCTCAATATTCTATAGTGAGTGCAATGAGAAGAACGGTATGAATCTGATGTTTAAGCATCTAGTAAAGGGCTGTAGACTGACAGGATGTAGCTAGCTTAGCTTACTGCTAGCCTGGCCCCAGTGCAAAGTGTAACTGTGACAATGGGGTCTCTTATTAATGTCAAACCTAGTATGGTATATAACTATTCAGTACTCAAGATCAACAAGCTTCTGGAAAGAAAGATGCTTTGAAAATGCACTATTGTCTGCACTTAAAGAGATGAAGATGTAGATTATTTGGAGAAATAAAAGCCCTCAGTGAACATGTGTGGGGCCTTTCAAAGCTTCACAGGACCTTGTTAGGAGATGTAGAAACTCTTTAGAGTCACCATTTGATCTGAGCAGAACACACAAAGACTACATGCAATCTGTTTCCTTTCCACACACACCACTGACATCACTGCGAGGTTCAAACATGTTAGAATAAAGTGGAATGAAGCTCCCTGAGTGACTATCCTATGACTGTCTCTGGGGACAGTCTGTTAGTCTCAAGAGACCACCCTGGAGAGAAGCTAGGAGACTCTGATGGAGGAACCCTGAAACCCCACTTCCAACTTTGTCAGGCCAAGAAGAAGTGTGTTTCTTAAGCAGAGTCATTAAAGAACTGAAAATATATCTGAACTTCCATCTGACACCCAGTCTGAAAATAGACCAAGGGTGCTCTCTGGTGCACTCTGTCCTGCTCACTCCTTCCTTCAGCTCATCACTGTGTTCCTTCACAGCACAAATCAGTCTAATAACACAAACTAGGATTAAGTGTGTAAGTCAACTAAATAAATGACTCAATGACTATACCATGCAATATGGCTGATGCAACAAAAGGAAGGGACTACAAATCTAAATCTCTTTTTTTCACTGTAAAAGAGTCGACTAAGTATTGTGGATTTATTGTCGAGTGTCATATCAAAACTAGAGCAGCATACAATGATCAGTCAGGACCACTTGGAGTTACTTTCTCATTAAAGTTAACAGAGGCAACACCGGTGCTGAAAATAAGTGGAAATAAATCAGACTAGATTGACTTATATTTTCAATATATTGTGATGACTAAAAGAGGATTTCATTGATTAAATACATAAACAGGTGCTTTTTCTCTTTGAGATACGTTTCAGACCTGAATGACCAGACCTTTAGGTGACACAACCAGACTTAAGAACATCAAAATAGTAAGGATAGCAAAAGTTCAAAAGATGAAGGCTGATGAGCTAAAAACAAAAGAGATCAAAAAGATATGAGGAAATGGGAAGAGGGCTGAAGAAGAGTCTGAAGATGTGAGGAAAGAAGAAAGGATCGGGAGATAAGAAGATACTAACAGGAATCTCTCTCTAAAGGGCCATCCCATCAACCCTGTGTCCACCCACAGACCCTGACGACAAACCCAGTACACCCATTGGCTGCTGGGTGTCGCTGAGGAGGAGGCGGGGTGGAAGTTATGAATATGTATGAACTATAACTGGTTGATATACTGCCGGAGAAAGGAACGGGAGATGATGGAGATGAGGGGAGGAAGACACGTTGGAGGAGGGGGGAGGAGGAGGACATGGATGGAGAGTGGGAGGGGGGAGGTGAGAGAGGATTGGAGGGAGGTAAAGAGCAAATGATGGACGTCGAGGGATGAGGAGGGATGGAGCGAGGAGAGATGAAGGGATGGGAGGAGAGGAGCGGTATCAGGAGGATTCAGAGGACACTAATGAGACAAATTAATCATACCAACCACACACACCTCCCCCTCATCTTAACCCCAGAGAGCTCTACTCAACAGTTTGGGTGTGTGTGTGTGTGTTTACATGATATAGGCCAGGCAAGCAAGGGTAGAAAATAATCCACACACACACAGCACACACCACACACACACACACACACACACACACACACACCACACACACACACACACACACACACACACACACACACACACACACACACACACACACCACACACACACACACCCCACACACACACACACACACACACACACACACACACACACACACACACACACACACAACACACACACACACACACAACACACACACACACACACAACACACACACACACCACACACACACACACACACACACACACACACACACCCACACACACACACACCAACACCCACACACACGGGCTGGCATGCGTGCGGTGTAGGATGGGATTATTTATGTGATTGGATAAGTGAGAACGGGGGGTCCCCGAGGATAAAGGCGTGCATCCATTACACACAACAACACCCGGGGTGTGGCTCTGCGAGGGGCGGAGCTAGTTGAGCTTCATGATGCTAATATGAAGCTGGCTCCAGCACAGTGAACAAGCCCCCAGGAAGTGAGCTGGCCACTTTTTTTATTTAGAATGTTTTAGCTAGATCAACTAGCCATTACGAACACTTGAAGTTTAACCATCCTAATTTGACCCTTGAATGGGTTCTGTATACTGGAGGATACAGTCATCTAACAGGCTGTGTCCATGTGTAAAATAAGTGTAAATATGGAGTTATATGGGTTTAATTACCGAGTAATACGGGTTTAATTACTGAGTAATACGGGTTTAATTACTGAGTAATACGGGTTTAATTACTGAGTAATACGGGTTTAATTACTGAGTAATATGGGTTTAATACCGGAGTAATATAGGTTTAATAACGAGGTAATGTGGATGTCATGTAGAACATAGCAATCAATTATTTTGCCAAAACACTTCAATGTGAATGCCCATTTAAAGAGTTATTTTCCCTCTGCATTTGACTGAGCAGAGACAGGCTGTGACGCTACGGATTGGGAAAAGGCGAATGCGTATGCTCTATGGATCGAGATCCCCAGATGATCCGGGTATTTTTGTACAGAGTCAGGGCGTTTGGGCTTTATGTGCTATTGAGCAACCTTCATAGGAATAAACAGGGCCCTGCCTCCAACGCTGTATCCAGTTCTCTTTATACACCCATGACAGTGACACATGATTCTACAGGTATCACACAAGGAGAAGTGTGCTCCATGAGTGTATTCCATTCCCTCATTCATACAAAGCATTACATTACAAAACTGAAGTAAGTAAAAGGTAACAATTAAGGTCATTAAAATCTGTTTGTATCGTTTAGTAAACTATGATAGAAAAATATAAATCATTCTGATAATACTCCTCTTCCTTTCACTACTTCTAATCACAACCAACAATGTACTCATTGACGAAACATCATTGTTGCCTAATAAGAGCTTGATGATCGTGTAGAGATCTTGTGAATACAGAGAATAACTGATCATCAGTTAGGGTTGTGTCTGCTTGCATTGTGTTCCTAACAAATAGAGGACTAACTTTTAGCAGCACTAATATCTGTGAAATAGCAGATAATATGTGTGAAATTCTGCTGTGACCCTTCTTTCAAGGAGTGATTTATGTGTGAGGACAAAGCTGTTAGCATTGGATGACCTGCAAGGAGTAGTGCATTGTAAGACAGGTGGAGATTATAGGAGTTTGGAACTCAGGCAGGTTCAGGTAAGCTTTCAATTATATTTCACTTGCCATTCTATATGTCCATTTAACACCGAACAACCCGTCCATTTCAAAATATATCCTGAACCAAGGTATATGTGTGCACGGTATATCGGTGTGTGTGTGTGTGTGTGTGTGTGTGTGTGTGTGTGTGTGTGTGTGTGTGTGTGTGAGAGAATGATTACCTCCTCTACATTAGAGGCAGTCTTGGCTGAAGTCTCCATGAATATGAGGCCATGTTCTCTTGCAAATGCTTCACCTTCCTCTTTCTTCACCTCTCTCCTCGACTCCAGGTCACTAAACACAAACACAAAAACATGAATACTATGTATTTTCCATGGTCATCCAAAGGTAGAAGATAGAAAAGTAGTATATTAGTACACCTCATGAACAGTGATGCATTTCCTTTACTGTGAAGGAAGCTAGGATCACTTTCATTGTGTGATATCAATGACCACTTTTCTCTAATGAAATGAACCATAATTTGAACTTCTGTTCATGATGACTCGTTGCTGATAAGAGCAGGTAAAGATGAGTCAGGCTTTGTTGTTCTGACTGAAAATAATACGTTGTCATTGAGCTATGCACTGGGCTACTGGGTAGCTAACAGCTCTGTGTAACATCAGTGCCAATACCTACATTCTACAATTCTACCTCCTCTGTTAAACCTTAAAAACTGATAAGTGTATGACTCCGTATCGCAGGTTTAGTAGACAGTTGTCAAAAAGAGTTTCAGGTTGTTCGTAATCAACAAAAGGACATTTGTAAACTCATCATTTTGACATAACAGTTATGTAACATTGAGTACCTGAGCCTGAGTTGAGCTTTGTTGTAGAGGTGAACCTCCTCGTATGGAGTTAACAGAATTAATTCATCATCATATATATATATATTTTTTTTATGTATGTAATTCCTCGTAGGTGTGAACCTACCTGGCAATAAACCCGTTTCTGATTCTGATCATCATAATTAGTTTCAAGGTGCAGTTCTATCTAGCAGCTGTTTGTTGACTGCATTTTGGGTCGATTTAGAGGTTTTAGAGGAAGCTGGATCAGATACAACAGTAAGGACACGGCCAGGCACAATGTTAACAAACCATTTGGATAATAATAATAATAATGAATGTTAACGCTGTTACAGCAGCTCCTACTCACCGCTGAGTAGTTTTCTATATATTTCTTTAATTAACATACTTTAGTATAATTTATTGTACTTACATTTAAATCTTGTATTTACATTTTGTTTTTATCTTATAGTGTTTTATTTTTATTTTGTTTTTCTCCATCTTCCATTTTGCATTTTTCCTCTGTGGGCAAAAAAAGGTATTCTGATATGTATTTGAGTGCTTTTCCAATAGCTCAAAGCATTACATTAGTTTACATATATTAGACATGTAATACATTCCATACTGTGGACAATACCCACAGGAGCAATTTGGGGTGAGGTGTCTTGCCCAAGGACACAACGACATGCTGACTGCAGTGGGGGTCCAGGTGGGATTGAATCTGTGCCCCCCTGTTCAGAGGATCAGCGCACTTACCCACTGGGCCACAGCCGCCCTCAAAAATAAAAAAACACAATACTCATAAGCCTGCCTGGTTGCAGTACAGTGTTATATGTTCAGGATCTTACCTCTTGTTGCCAATGAGCATGATGACCATGTTGGAGTTGGAATGTTGGCGAGCGTCCTCTAACCAGGTCGTCAGGTGGTTGAAGGTGTCCCTTCTGTTAAACAGGAACAGAATCTGGCTTTAATCTACTTTCACATTGATAACACAGCTGTTACGGTATCAGATCTTCATGTCCTTGTATGGAGTATACAGTCCTTGTCCCTTACTCTTGCAGCGTTTCCAACCATTCAATCTTACAAGAAGACTTCATCCCAGCTGTTCCTGTTCCTGATGCACACCCTAGGACTATCTGAAAAGAACACTGGTATTTGCTCTAGTTTACTGTCCTTAAGGTGAACCATAATGTCTTAAGTCCCTCTAGTGGCCCTTACAGGTTATAATGTCCACTGTAACCAACTATATTCAGATGAACTCCATACCAGCAACTCAACTAACTAGGTCAGTGGTAGGAAACCCAAGGTTTCCACATCTGGGGAGCATGAAGGCTGATTTCTTTTAGACTTTAACCCCCTTTCATACACATGTGCCGGCTCAGCTTGGCACTGTGCTCGAGCTCAGCACAGCAGGGATTTGCATCTCCATTCCAAAAGAGCTAAAAGTGTGTCTCAATCCACCATCTCTCTCTTCTACTTTTCATCCTTTCAGTATTAGCAGAGGTCTCAGTTAGGCCGCACTCGGTAAGATGCCACTGTAACTCCATTGGAGGCAGGTTGGACGCAATTTGGCCCAACTCCGGAGACGGCCCATCATCACAATTTGGCTATACTGTAAGTATATTGGTTTTAGGCAGTTGTGATTGACAGACCATTGATTTTTGAGAAAGAGGCAGGTAAAATAATACTTTCTTCTCCCTGGTCCTTTCCATCATGTGCTACAAAAAAAAAAGCTTAAGTGTACATGTTTTGTTTTATTACAATTGCCATGAGTGGAATAAACTAATACAAAATGAAACACTATATCTTGTAAAGGAAATGCAGATCAACTTCTGCTTCTCGGATACATTGTGTGACTTGACCAAAAGTGGGAATGGAAAAACCCAGGTAGAGAAAGCTGGTGGGGGGGGGATTTTGACCACATGGTAGAGCTGCACAAAAGGTCACGGGGTCATGACAAATCATTGGGAATCAACCTCTGGGGACCATAAAGATCAATAACAGATTTCATGTCAATCTTGCCAGTCGTCAATATATTTTGCTCTGCACCATAGTGTGGAATTGATGGGAAGACTGACGTGCTGCTCACGCTTGAGAAGAGATGCAGCTAATACCCAATTTACTCTTGGTCACTTAATGTTTCTTAGGCGGATCGGAGAGCTTTCCCATGTTTCAGACATTCAGGGTTCCAAGAGGATGAACCCTTAGGACTTTGGTGATATTACAACCTTTCCTGTGACCTCCTGTAAATCAGTATTTTAATCTGTTTTTGATTAATTATAAACTCATGCTAATCTGCAGTCCTTTCAAAATATATGCACAACTTGCTAACACGATGAGGAAATGCAACCAACTTCGAAGTGTTTCTGACCACAGCTTTGCTAAAGATTGTGTTTGGGTCTGTGTGATTGGTTGTGTTACCTTGTGATGTCATAGACTAGCAGAGCTCCTGCTGCTCCTCTGTAGTAAGACCTGGTGATGGAGCGGAACGACTCCTGACCAGCCTGGAGAAACACATACATATATTAATAAACAGAAATTGAAATGTGAATAATTGAAACGGCCACAGACAAGTGCTGATCCTTTGGTTTTCTAACAGCCCTGATCCCGCTGGGGTCTGACTGACCTCATCTTTCAATCCTACAGGTCACAGTAAAACCAGTCCTGCTTATCTACAAGTCTTGTTTCTATGTGGTCTAGGGCCACTAATGCTCTGCACCAGCCCAGATTCGCTAGCAGGTTCCGGCTCCAGGTTTTCAGTCAGCCGGCAGAGGACTGGACAGAGCCGAGCCTGTCATTGGATACAATAACATTCTTTTTTCTGTCTCCATCTATCTGTCAACATCCCTTTCTTTCTCCAGTGTGTATAACCTCCCATTTATGAACAACAATTTCATATCAACAGTGCCCACCTCGTTTGACACTCCCCCTTCCATTATTACCCCTCATTGTCTCGACTCCACTGTCTGTTCCTTGCATCACTCATCTTTTCATTCTTTCCCCATAAACCCCTGGGCCTCCACTATTTCCACCACTATTCTCACTGTGTATCACTCTTACACCCCCCCCCCTCTCATGTCTATTCAGGCTCTGTCCCTATCCCATATACGCTAACAATGTTGTCTGTGTTTCGCCCGGGCAGGAGTAGAAAACAAAACAGCACTATCCTAGCAGCTGCGGCTCTGACCTCATGTGAAAAACTAGACAGCCAGTCAGTCAGAAACACAAGCAGGCAGTGAATCATGGAGCAACTCAAAGGAGCAGTTTGTCACCCAGCAACACCAGCTCCCGGGCAGTGAAGAGTCAGAGAACTAGTGTTTCAGTCAGTGAGCAGGTTATCTAGACGGCTAGTTAGCTGGAGGAGCAGTCAGGATAGCTAACGGCCAGCAGTCAGTCAGGGAGCGGTCAGTCAGTCAGTAATGCTATTAGTGAATAAATGATAAATAAGGGTGAAAGAGAGGGAACGATGCATCTGTCTGCCATCTGGTCATGTGCGGAGGAACACACATACATGCACAAACACTTTATTCATATGGCATGTGCAGCCTACACACTGGTTTCTCTAGACATTTGGTGGTGGTGGGAGTTCTGTACCAGTCGGTATCAGTGGGCCCTTCTGGTTTGTTTTTGACCCTCTCATCTGGGACTATATGACACCTTTTAAACCAGGCGAGGCAAATAGCTACCCGATAGGACAGGCTGACATCATGCCTAGTTCAGACCCTCAAGCTCGGGGAGGTGCCTGTCTTTCCATGGAGCTCTATCTCCCCCTGCTGGTCAAACGCCTAACTGCATGGGCAGGAAACCATAGTGGAAGTGACGCAATGTTTGGACAGTGATGGAAGAATTACTTAGAACTTAAACTGAAGTAAAAGTAGCAATACTACAGTGTGAGAATACTCACTTACAAGTAAAAGTGCTGCATTTAAAATTGTACTTAAGTAAAAGCATCAAAAAGTATAAGCCTCAAAATATATTTCAAATACAAAAGTGAAAGTACTCATTCTGCAGTATGGCCAATTTCAAAATCATATATATTACATTATTTATTATAATTATGGAGCAATAATTATTGCTCCATTAATGTCAATATTGCACTTGTTTTTATTTTTTATTATTTGTATATAATGTTGGGTAACTTAAAGGTGGGGTAGGTAAGTTTGAGAAACCGGCTCGAGATCGCTAGAATTTGAAAATACACAGCCGGAAAAAATCTGCCACTTCCTCACAGAGCCCCTCCTCCAACACACACGAACGCGCACATGACCAATGAGGGCACGAGATAAGTTTGTGCACAGATGGAAGGCTGACAGGCAGGTAGGCCATCCAGTTATTTTAGCCGGGCCGGCTAAAATGATTGGTCGTGCTTTTTACAGTATTACGGCTTCCACAGATGACATTTTTTTATGGATTTTTTGTCAAAGCACTTAAGATATTCATTGCTATCGGGATGTTAAGAGCATTCCATGGAATATAACAAAAAGTGTATCTCGAGCCGGTTTCTCAAACTTACCTACCCCACCTTTAACATATACTAAACAAGTAGGTCTGATTTATATGTTGTATTAACAATCTAAATCTGCAAAGTAACTTGTTACTAAAGTTGTACAATACATGTAGTTGAGTAAAAAGTAAAATAATTGCTGTAGTGGAGTAAAAGCATAAAGTAGCTTAACGTGAAGATACTCAAGTTAAGTAAAAATACCTCAAAATGGAACTTTATTACAGTAATGAAGGTACTTACGTAAATGTACTTAGTTACATTCCACCACTGTGTGTGGAACATCACATCCTTTATTTGATAGTCTGGAGCAAAGGTTTTGATCAAAGTTGGTAACCACTTGAATTTGGTCTGAACTACCACTTGTCTGCACTGTATACATAGTTGCTTCTAGATGAAATCATTTCTTAATGTTCTCTCTTCAACTGGGTCTCCTTTAGTTCTCATTCCTTTTGAGGGGTTTGTCTCTCATTGGAATGTCTTTGATAAGTCAGGGAGACAACATGAAAGATGTTTCCACAATGAGAACAACATTTATGAGCCTTCTTGTCATTAAAAACAACTCAACGCATATCTTTTTGATTTGTTTATCTCTGTCATTCTTTTTCAGATACATTATTTATCAAACCATGTAATAATACATGAACTATGTATAAGATACAGTATTCAAACCAAAATGTTCTTTCTGAAGACTTTTTTTCAGATTCATATTTACACCAACATATATTATTATTTAGGAAATGTGTCATTCCAGAAATAGCGGTCAATTCAAGTTTAACGTCTGCATTTCAGAGACATCCATATATTTATAACCTTGCTTTTAGGTCATTCATTCAAGATGTTTTCAGGTGTTTTTAGAGTCACCGTCACAATAAATGAAAAAAAAAAAAAGCTAGATATATTACCGTATCCCAGATCTGCAGTTTGATCTGTTTGCCATCTATAGTGATCATCCTCGCTCCGAACTCCACACCTGGACACAAGAATGTGGATATGGTAGATTAGGTGCCGACTCAACAGTCACATTAGCCTCGTTCACACCAAGTACTTTGCCGTACTTAGTTCCCAGCACTTAGTTCCCCTATGGAACTAAGAGCCGATCGCGTTCACACCGGAATAAGTTCCCTGAGGGAAGATTACGCAAATGAGCCGCTGACGTCACTTCGTCTTCTTCTGCTTTGGGTTTACTGGCAGGCCGCAAACCACTTCACGGCGTATACTGCCCATGGATGTATAGATACTGCCACCCGAAGTCCCCGGCCGGAAGTCCCCGGCCGGAAGTCCCCGGAGTTGGGGACTGGCTTCAGTAGAAGCTGCTGGGACTCCCAGCAGCTTGAAGCCTTCCGAGTAAATCGCCAGAACGCTGACACCTCCTCATCTCCCATGTTTTATTTTGTGTTGCCATAAGTTAGTGTCTCTGCGTTTGTGCGCTGGGCGAATGCTAATGCTAATAATGCTAATGCGAGGATGAAATGGAGGCTCTACAAAACATTTCAGAGTTTTACAGGGCGTGGTTTGCAATTCGCCCAGCCAATCAGAACTGGGGCACTTTCTTTCCCCAGGAGAGTACCATCTCTCAGCAGGCACTAAAAATGGGGGTAAAAGTTCCCGGCACTCAGTACTCTTTTTGGTGTGAACGCGACATAAGGGGTAGTAACGGAACTAAACGGGAAAAGTACGGGGAAAAATACTCCGGTGTGAACGCGCCTATTGTTACTTGTTGGCTGTGCTTTAATATTGGCTCTTCCATCTGTTTGACTGCTTCTATATTGCCCCATCAGGACGACCCCCCCCCCCACTCATACTGTATGTATAAGAGGGTGGAGTCTTCCTGAAGAGGTGGCTCTACAATGTTTTACAGCTACTTCTTTCACTGCACAGATCACACAGACAAAGAGTAGGCAGACAAAGATAGTGGTGTGTACCAAGTGACCAACAGCATGTCTTTCATTATCTGTAGGAATATTAGAAATACTATACAGCAATTTAAAGCAAGCTTGTAATGAAACTTAAGTTAATAATGTTCTGTTTTCTTAGACATTATCCCCTAGCTAAATGATTGCCTTGAATACAAAAACAGATAAAGGCAGCAGGGGAAGAAGAAGAGAACAGAATGGGCTTTCAGGCAACAGGTACAACCACACTAAGCATCACTTATCAGTAAAGAAGGGATGCTAAGTACCGTTAGCCACGTTTCTTATGATTGGCAAACAAATGATTATTAATATTGACTGACTGTAACTATGTTAACATGAGATTTGTCTCTTTAGGTTTAATACAATGTAGGGTTATTTCTATTTTCCAGTAGCAGTCTTCCAACTTGAATTTGATCCGTCTGAATGTTAGGACCAATATAAGGTTTTGCCTGGATAAAACAACATTATCTCTTTCGAGATAAAGGTTCATGAAACGAGTACCTTAAGGCTAAAACATAAACAAGCCACCTTCACATGTTTAACCCAGCCCAGATAGCACCAGCTTTACTGATTGCAATATGGAAGAATACAGTGATTATTGGACCTAGAGTTGGTCTGGGTTTAACCTAGAGAAACCTAGACCGTCTTTGACCTGCCCAGTACAATCCCAGAGCAGACGCGTTCTCTTCCGGTTGAAAAGTGTCAAATACAGCATACACACTGTTTTTCATAGGATCTGTATTGAACAAATATGTTCCTTTAGGTCTCTACAATACTTTTTGTAGGACTGGAATTCTCTGCAGCTCCACAATATTTCATTATAAATACTATTTTCAAATATCAAGCGTGGAAGAAATATTGCACATCCTGTGATTTGAACATTGCACATGACCATATTGCGATTTTGATAACATATGAATCAATTGTGGAGTCCTATTGTTGATGCTGAAACGATATATGGTGCAGCCCTAGTAGCACAGGATTAGTAATGGCTAAATGAAATGATGCATTAATGAATGTATTTCTAGTGCTGGTGTTGCTGCAGAGCTGAATGTGTAGAGGACTTACCGATAGTGAGATCGTGAACGGGCTGAAACCTCTTGTCTGTGAACTGTAGTAATAGACATGACTTCCCCACACCTGCAAAACAAACACACAGCACATTAGAGGGAACACTGATTATAGAGTCACACATATAAGCATGAACAACACCCTTCACATTCATTTCCAAAGGTGTCTCATGTGCTGAGAGCAAAATACCACACATCATTATAAAATCAATGACTGAACTCCCACACAGTGCAGAGGATCCGGCTGTTTCCAGTTGACAACACTGCAGGAAGCTACAGATATACAATGATAATGAACGTTTTATACATAGAATTCACTCAAACTAAACACATTGGAGCATCAGCGTCTTCAAACCAGCCGACAAGCTTACACAGCGTTTCTCCAGCTAGCTTCAGTGAGCTCAGTTAACCTGAGCCAACGCACCAGCTGGCAGGCTGTGTGTGTGAAGCTACTCTGGTCACCATTAACAACTGCTCTACATATGACTGCAGTTGTAAATGTAGCAGACTGCCTCACATCCACAAACACAAGGACGGACTAACAGCGCAGTCAAGCTGCATTTCATTTATTTACTTTTCAATGACTGGCTTTTTTAAATAAATTAGTCTAAAGCAAACAAAAAAAACACATGGTGTAGTGCATCATTTGTTAATAAAGGCAAATAGCAATGCTTTTAAACATACTTTCAAAAAACTGTCCATACTGTTTTATTATTATTTAAATGTATTCTGTATAAGGTCTCGATACTTTAATAGTTATTTTAAACTGCTGCTACTCATTCTCTAGCCATGGTTGTGTACTTATTTATCTTTATTTGATTATTAATGTCTACCATTCTTTTTGATTATTGCTTGCCTTTTGACCTGCTATGACACTTTTACTGTAACACAGTACATCAGGGGTCACCAACCTTTGAGACAAAGCTACCTGAAGGATAAGGAACTCCATGGAGGGCTACTTGTTTGATCTTTCTGAATAATAGTTTCCCTATTTGTTAGCAACACCTGTAGACACAGGATTTACAGTCAGGCTACAGACTATTGTGGTAGGAACCATTACATGTGGCGGCATACCTGCAAACTGACATGTTGTGAAAAAGATGTCTGTATAACGAACCCCTGTAGGGGGTCTGGGGGGGATCCTCCTCATTAAGATTTGTTTGAAATGTTAACAACGCATTCTGGTACTCTCTTGAGAGGAAAATAAAGCAAAAAGACACAGTGGAGGACGATATCACACTGCTGCCATTGGGCCCAAACTGTTCATTATGAACAGCGCGACTTAAAGGAAACCTATCATGCTATATTTAAATGATATATTGTAGGGGATAAGGTATATTTATACGTTTCTGTTTTCGAAATACCAAACAGATCATGCATTTTTGCCATGCCTCATTTCGCTCTATGTGCTGTTTGCTGTCTACGGGTCTGATTCTGCTGACCACGCCCCCCTGCAAGAGAGGGGAGACGTGCTCTGATCAGCTGCTGGGCTGTCAGAAGAGGGGGAGAAAAAGAGATCTCCGTCCTCCGTGTTTTATTATAGCCTATATAGAGTCGTTGTTCATTTGTTTTAAAGCTCAATAAATAACAAAGAAGACCTTTGACCGGCACTTTTCTAATTTTGTCCGGAAGATTTAAACTTTAACGGACATCTTGACCGGCGAAAGAAACTGAAACTCTGCCGCACGGTCCCCTCGTTCCTTGGAAGAGGTGGAGAGGTGGGTGTTTGTCATCTGCTGGTGGACTAACCGGAGAGAATTACAGTGCTTGCCTCGACGGGGAGGGATTGCATTGAATTAAAGCAGCAGGAGCAAACGCTTGCCTCGGGGAAGGAGAAAAAAAAAGCCACAGCGGAGAATAAACAGAAGGGTAACCATGGTAACCAAGTCTTCTTCGCTGCTTTTGTGGCAGACTACAGCGCCACTTACAGGCCTGGCATATGTACTACAGCGTCTCCAGCGCTTTCGAGCGGCAATGGCCGGCCGTGGCCCAACCCCACATTCCCCTGATAGGTGGAGAGTTGGCCCAATAGCCGTAGCGCCACTTCTGTGTTCAAAGTCAAAGTAAGCTTTATTGTCAAGAATTCTACATGTTGTACATCCAGAAATCTCGAAATATCGTTTCCCGCAGTCCTACAGTGTGACATATATACATTAAACAAAACAAAGGGCCTAGATAACCGGGGTATACAGTTTAAAATGTTAATAATATAATTTAAGTGTTCAAAGTACAGTTTCAGTGCAGTAGCAGCGGAGATGGGCAGAAAAGTGACTGGTGCTGGATGAGGGGGGTTGTGTGTGTGTGTGTGTGTGTGTGTGTGTGTGTGTGTGTGTGTGTGTGTGTGTGTGTGTGTGTGTGGTTAGAGTCCAGGACTATTTGGGGCAGGGGAGAAAGGTCTGAGGCAGGGTAGAGAGTTCAGGGGAGAGATGTCAGAGGGAGGGAGGGAGGGAGGGAGGGGAGAGAGTTCAGCATCCTGACTGCCTGGTGGAGGAAGCTGTTGCCCAGCCTGGAGGTGCGCAAGCTGAGGCTGAGGAACCTTCTTCCTGAAGGCAGGAGGCTGAAGAGGCTGTTGGAGGGGTGGGTGGAGTCACCCACAATGCTGAGTGCTTTGCGGGTGAGGCGGGTGTTGTATATGTCCTGTAGTGAGGGGAGTGAGGCACCGATGATCCTCTGGGCAGAGTTCACTACGCGCTGCAGGCTCTTGCGGTCGGCGGCGGTGCAGCTTCCGAACCACAGCGTGATACAGCTGCTGAGGATGCTCTCGGTGGCGCCTCGGTAGAAGGACAGCATGATGGGGGGTGATGCTCCGGCTCGCTTGAGCTTCCGGATGAAGTACAGGCGCTGCTGGGCTTTCCTCGCTAGTGCGGTGGTGTTGTTTTTCCAGGTGAGGTCATCAGTGATGGTCACCCCAAGGAATTTGGTGCTGGTCACCTGCGTCACAGCAGCGCCGTCGATGGTCAGGGGGAGAGGGGGTCGACGGTGGGTTCTCCTGAAGTCAACAACTATCTCCTTTGTTTTCTCCAGGTTGAGGAAGAGGTTGTTGCTTTGGCACCACGGAGCCAGCTGGTTCACTTCCTTCCTGTAGTTAGTCTCATCGTTGTTGCTGATGAGACCCACCACAGTAGTGTCGTCTGCAAACTTCACGATGTGGTTGGTGCTGAAGATGGGTTTGCAGTCGTGGGTCAGCAGAGTGAAGAGAAGGGGGCTGAGCACACATCCTTGGGGGGCCCCCGTGCTCAGTATGAGGGTGTCTGAGGTGTTATTGTTGACCCGTACAGCTTGTGGTCTCTCTGTGAGGAAGTCCAGCAACCAGTTGCAGAGAGAGGGGCTGAGGGGCTGAGGCCCAGGGCCCTTTCTCATGTCATCAAATGTCCCTCCTCGACTCCTCGGTCCTCCGGTAGTGACCCGGAAATGAATTTTAGCGCGCCATGTTGAAGGACATCTCATTTCTCGAAATGCACATCGAGGACCGAGCATCGAGCGTCGAGGAGGCTCTCTGGAGGAGCTATAACCGAGGATACACTGATGGGTCCTCCACGGTCCTCCACGGCTCCTTCGTGGATGCATTTCCGGCAACAGTGATGTTTCAAAGAGTCGAGACGCACGGCCGGACTTATCTCAGCCAATGACAGCTCTGCATGCATCCCCTGGATATTATTTTATTAACTGCTTTCATCGCGACGCGATGTTTACAGTGAGAACAGCTGTGAGGTCCGTGCAGAAAGCAGAGCAGTGTGTATAATACATATCATATCACTCAGTATAACAGGCCTACTCTCTTTATTTGCTTTAGTTTAGTAGATATCTACAAACAAAGTCGATATTTTTCTAAAACCATTTAGTGCTTCACATAATAAAATACACAACGGCTGTATCCTGATTATATGCTTTAGGAGCTGTAGGTGCGTGTGTGGTGTAGGTGTGTGTGGTACAGTGTGTGCGTAGATGCAGCGGACAGACAGGTCTCAGTTGGTTTGGTGTCCTCTGCTTACTTGTAATACTTGTAAATAAAACTTTTGGCCCGTCATTTATTTCCCTCATTGTAGCGACCAGAGAGGGGAGAGGGGGGGGGGGATATATGTCTCTGATAGTGTTACGTTATTATGAGAGTGCTCTGTTTGATTCTGAAATTGTATATATTTATATAAATATATATATATATATGTGTGTGTGTGTGTGTCTGTGTGTCTGTGTGTATGTCTGCATCTGTAGCCTGTTATTGTCTCATTATACCGCACTGTGAATGAATTAAAAGTAAATATATAAGTCGTCATGAACACATCTGTCCATCAGACAGAGGGCTGCTGTGCCTCCTGTCATCATTAATGGACGTCTCTTTAAAATGACCGCTCAGAGGAGAGGAGTTCTCATTTCTCTAACCGCCTGCTGCTTCCCCTCCTCTCTCCTCGGTTCCCCTCCTTGGCTCCTCCGCTCGCATCTCCTGTGGGCGGGACTAAGTCTCGAGGATAGGAGTCGAGGAGGGGAGTCGAGGAGGGACATTTGAAGACATGAGAACGGGCCCAGGTCTCCAATGGCACGTTTACACTACAGCGCGGAGCCCCGTTTAAGAGAGCTGTGACGTCAGCGGCTCGTCTTTGGTTGCGTTTCCACTTGGCCTAGTACCGGCTAGCGGGTCCCAATTCACAGTTTTTCTGGCCCCATAAAATCGTGGTTCTAGGGCCAGGAACAACCAGGCTGAGTCGGGCTGAGTATGCTAAACTAGAGAGAATCGCTGGCAAGGGGGCTACAACTACAACAAGATGAACATATTTGACCGTGATTTAATTGTAATACACGTTTCAAAATGATGCCGAAGTAACAACATACTGATACCGGTTAGTAAAAACCATGAATTAATGCTTTGACAAGTCTGCAGACAGACGGCAGGCGAAAAACCTTTTAAAATGCGTGTTTTCTAAATGGAGATTGGCTAAGCTAACGCAGTATATGCTCCGACCGTCCACACTAACAACAACGGCCTATACAGACATAAATAAAGCAGCGACTGTATTCGCCATGACACAGGCAGTCTGTGGTTTGTACTTGTTTAACTTTTGTCTAGTTTCTGAA